TTCTTGTACCATTGTCGACTGCACTGCTGTACTATCAAAAAGGGTAGGATGTGAAGAAGTGGTAGCAATATGTCGGCCGTTAAGAGTACTTTGCATTTTATCTAAGTAAGATTGCTCAGTCAATGCCAACTCATATTTGGTAAAAGCGTCTAACAGTAAATAATCTTTAGGCGTAAGTACCAATGAATTAAATTGTTCATTGTCCAAAAGCATACTTAGGAAATGTGATCCGGGATGAATAGGTGTTACTGTAAAGTTGTTTGCACCAATAGCACGCACTCGGGAATACAAAAGATGATTTGTACCTTCCATTTTGCTGCTCATCGCTTTATTTAGGTGTGACTCCATTCGTGTACCAATATCAATGGATGAACCGATATAGGCATCAGATGTTCCATTTTCAACAATAATATAAATCCCTGCTTTATTGAACTCAGCAGGCAATGGACCTTTGCTGTTTAGGGGTAACCCACCGTCAGAAATGACAAGATGGTCTGTACCATTAACATTAGCAAAGCGGCAAAAGGTATTATAGGTTTGGTTTCGATGGGCTTTAATGAATTTCCGTACTTCTACTGAAAACATATCGTTATTAAGGGCTTTGTTGAGTACACTTAAGGTTTGATCATGATTTTCACTAGGCACAATAGGGAAATCCAAGGGTCATTCAACATATCGTACAGTAACGGTTTCTGTATTAAGTTTTGTTAACAATTCTTTTTCACTTAACAAGGGTAAGCTATTTGAGGTGAGGGGCATTTTTGCTTCAATGCTATTAGCTGTCATTAACGAGCAAGCTACAGGGTGTGGTGTATTATCATGGCTCGATCAGTATCATTGGTGTCCAGCTACTTTAATAGTCATAGAGGGAGAAATTACTTCATCCATTAGGTAAAGCAGTTTGAAACTAGGGAATGCGATAGCAATTAACACTAAGGCAGGTGTAATTGTTCATACTAGTTCGATTAGAGTTCCGTGGTTGTGGTATTTGTGTACAATTTTAGTTCGGTCGCTGTTAAAGTAAATTAGCACTGATCCTAACATTCAGAATACTAAGAATGAAATTACAATTAGGTAAAAGAAAATAGAATCGTGTAATTCTACGATTCCTTCAAAGCTAGGTGTACTTCCATCTTGGAAACCGATTTGTCAAGGATATGAAGCATCATTGTGAATGTGGCTGAAGATATTTAGCATAGATATTATAGTTTGTTTTAGTCTCACGTAAGTCAGCGGATCTGAATATGAGACTGCTCTTAGTTAAGAAATCGGTGAATCGAACACCGGTAAACCACGTGTAAGATGGCCACTTTACCACTAAGTTAATCTCTTAAGTCGAAAATTATCTGAAAAGGGGGTTTAAGGGTACGGCTCTAACGAAAAACATATTACGGCCGATTTGCGTCGAGGGTTCCCCAAATCTAGTGTAACTCGATAGCGTCTTTTAGGTAGCTACATACCAGGATAGTGAATACATAAGCCTGGATTAGTGATACAGCAATTTCTAGTCCAACTAGTGCGATAAAGATAGCCATTGGTAGTAACGTTACAAAGAATAACAAGATACCGCTAGTTAAAGCAGGGTATAGGAATCCACTTAGGATTTTTAATAAAGTGTGTCCGGCTACGATGTTTGCAAATAATCGAACTCCTAAACTGAATGCTCGGGCAAAGTATGAAATTAATTCAATTAGCGCTAGTAACGGTACCAGTGGTAAGGGTGTTCCAGCAGGTACAAAGAAACTAAAGAAGTGAATTCCGTGTCGCATTAGTCCTAAGATTGTTACTCCTAAGAAAATCATTACACTTAGTCCCATAGCTACAATAGCACTTGATGTAAAGGCAAATGAGTAAGGTACGTTACCTACAAGGTTAGCTAATACGATAAAGAAGAATAGTGAGTATACAAACGGAACATAGATTTCGTTAGCACTTCCTACTTGTTCTTTAACCATACTGTGTAGTGTTGCGTATGATGATTCTAGTGATAGACTTCATTTACTTGGCACAATTCGGTGGTTGTTAGCTGATGCAGCGTGGTATCCAATACCTAAAGCTAGTACTAGTAGTGTGTAGAACCCAACGTTAGTTAATGAGATAACAAAATCTCCTAGGATGGGTGCAGTAAAGCTAATAAAGTTTACTGTTTCAAATTGTTCTAATGGTGATGAAGCCATTACTTGGAAGTTGTTTAACATATTTAATAATAGTTATTGTTTCTTACTTAAGTGTGCTTAACTTGCTATTCCTTTGGACCCTGATTAAATCATTTCTGCCTTTTCAATGGTCCATAAGGTTGTATATGCTCAGGACCGTTAGGCGTCTGAGAATAGCTGGAACGGATTAAAGTTTAGTGATGTACATTCGTGTTAAAAATAGTTCAGTAAACATTGGTAGAATGTATTTTGAGAATACATAGATCATTGTCATTAAAACAACAAAGGCAAAGGTTCATTGGTTTACGAAGTAGAATGGTAATAGTTGTGGCATAGGTAATTAAGTTTTTCTGCTCTTAAGATTATGGTATTAACATAAGCGGGTACAAGAGCTATCTTATTTCACTGAACGGTGAACGTAGACATAACAAAGTAATATTGGCATATAAGAAATTTAGGTGTAACTTCTTATATGTTGTAGTTCGATATAAAGAAAAGGGGTTTTAGAGGAATAGCCTGGACCTTTGTATACATTTATGATTGTACAGGTAACATGTTGTAACTGTGGAATGGAGTTGGTGAATCTAGTGTTCATTCTAATGTTGTAGATGCTTGAGCTCCGTTATAGAATTCTGGTGTTGATGTAAAGAATGCTGGGATTGCTCAAGGGTTAGCAGTTACTGTTTCTCCGTTAGCAAAGATATCGTAAATGACGTATCCAAATACCGCTGTGGCTACCACTGAGATAATTGACCCTACACTACTAATGTAGTTTCAGTCAGCGTATGCATCTGGGTAATCCGGAATTCGTCGCGGCATACCTGCTAAACCAAGGAAGTGCTGTGGGAAGAATGTAACGTTTACTCCAACAAACATTGTTCAGAAGTGGATTCGACCTCATACCTCGTTGTATGTTTTACCGATGATTTTAGGTGTTCAGTAGTAGAAACCTGCAAACATAGCAAATACCGCTCCCATTGATAGTACATAGTGGAAGTGTGCTCTTTGAATTAATTTACCTTTGCAGATAAAGTTGGACTATATCATTTTAAACATTTTTAGTCTCTTAAGAAAGGATCATTTAGGCCTTTCCTGCTGATTGCTTCGGTAATCAATACCAAGCGTTCCAGCAATTGAATGTAATTTTAATGTGTTGCAGCATCTAGGTTCACAACATAGTAAGTATCGTGCATTGCCACATCTAATGAAGCGTTGGCTAGGATAACTCCCGTAAGCCCACCAATTGTGAATAATGCAATGAATCCTAAAGCGAATAGCATTGGAGTAGTGTATCGTACTGACCCTCCGTAACATGTAGCAATTCATGAGAAAATTTTAATTCCTGTGGGAACGGCAATAATCATTGTGGCTGCTGTAAAGTAGGCTCGTGTGTCCACGTCTAATCCTACAGCGTACATGTGGTGAGATCACACAATAAATCCTAAAATACCAATTGAGAACATAGCGTAAACCATTCCTAGGTATCCGAATACGGCTTTACCTGAGAATGTTGATACTACGTGTGATACAATTCCGAACCCTGGGATAATAAGAATGTAAACCTCAGGGTGCCCGAAGAATCAGAATAAGTGTTGGTATAGAATTGGGTCACCTCCTCCTGCGGGGTCGTAGAATGATGTGTTAAAGTTTCGGTCAGTTAGTAACATTGTAATACCTCCTGCTAATACCGGTAGTGATAATAGTAGTAAGATAGCTGTTACAAAGATCGCTCAACAGAATAACGGTAATTTGTGTAATGTCATTCCTGGGTTTCGCATGTTAAGGATTGTAGTAATAAAGTTCATTGCACCTAACATTGAAGAGATTCCGGCTAAGTGAAGGCTAAAGATAGCCAGGTCAACTGAACCACCTGAGTGAGATTGGATTCCGGCCAGCGGAGGATATACTGTTCATCCTGTTCCTGCTCCTTGTTCTACGAAAGCACTTGCCAGTAGTAGAATTAGTGAAGGAGGAAGTAATCAGAACGAGATGTTATTTAATCGAGGGAAAGCCATATCAGGGGCTCCAATTTGTACTGGCACTAGGTAGTTACCGAAACCACCCACAAGCGCAGGCATACTTATTTATTTCCTATTGCTAGAAGAGTTGGACTATATCTTACGCCACTAAAGTGGGCTTCGCATTTAGTCTCTTAGGATACCTATGTTGGTTTCCTGCTGATTGCCCAATCATTTTGGGGTTTCCAGCAATTTACGAAATACAATGGCTACGCCTTAACCATGAAGAAAATCATTAAAAATGCGTGCGCAGTGATGATTACATTGTACAACTGGTGGTTACCGTTCAAGATTTGTACACCAGGTGATGCTAATTCCATTCGAATTAACACTGAGAAAGCTGTTCCTAACATACCAGCAAAGATGGCAAAGATAAGGTACAGTGTCCCAATGTCTTTAGCGTTAGTTGAGTAAAGTCATCGGATCATATTCATAGTTTATCATCAATTTTTCCTTATTTCTTAGATTTACGTCGAGGAGACCTCTCCGAGAACTGTTATAGTCAAGGTGACGGATTGGGAATACCCTTTATAACTGCAACGGTCTATATGCGACGCTGCCTTGGGGCCTACTATACGGACTACATGAGATTCGAACTCACAAGGATTCATCATCCAGACATTTAGCAAATGTGTTACTTCACCTATGGCAGATAGTCCTCCAAAGCTATACGAATGGGGGTTTTCACGATATACTTTAGCTAAAATAACGTAAGGGACGCGAGGGGAATCGAACCCCCAACTGTCCGATTAAGAATTCGGTTGTTTTACCACCGAAGGTTCTCAGGCACCGGAGGTACTCTGAGAATTAAACTATACGCCCTCTATGGGTCCAGGAAGATTCGAACCTCCAACCGAGTAGTTAAAAGCTACTTGCTCTACCATTGAGCTATAAACCCCCTCGTAGGCCGGGGGTGGCCCACGAANNNNAACCCCTGGATGAGTTAATTATCAGAGTACCTTTAATCATTTCTGTACGGTTTTGTTTACTGAGTGAGCTTGATTCGAACAAGCATCGGACACTCCCAAAAAGTGGAGACTTGCCTATTAGTCGATCACTCACTATAGATGCGGGGCCCGGCCAGCGCAGCTGGACGAGGTTCGGGACCCCTCTCCTCTCCGGGTAACTCGGGCGTACCCTCGAACTGCCCAATCCAGGAATCGAACCCAAATTTACTATTTACAAGATAGTCGTACTAACCGTTGTACTAATCAGGCTGACGGAAATTAAGTCTAGATGATCTGCACGGGGCTCGAACCCGTACTACCACAGTGAAAGAGTGGGGTGCTGACCTGTTGCACAAGCAAATCGGGGAAGACTCGTGGACCTGTTAATAAAGCGTAGAATTCTCTATAACAGAAATGGTTGAGGTCGCCTCTGGAACTGCATTTCGGACCTCAAGTCTACAACCGAGGAGCAGACAGTAAGTTAATGCCCTTAGTGCTACATTTCTATAGTCTACACAAAGTGGTGCTTGCCTAGCTAAAGCTTATTCGTATTCAACACCACGTTCCAGATTCAAAATGGACGCCTGCTTTGACCGGAGTTACACCCCGGATCACGTTCTTGATTCATCACCTCCTTAGCCCTCAGATAAACCGAGCAGTAACAGCCAACCATGCCATTATGCGATAGCTAAAAAGGCCCCTTGGATTTGGTGCAATTATACACCGGTTTTCATCCCTCTTTTTGCAAAGATATTTATTCTTATTTTAACCGAGCCCGGATGCCATTCTTTCAGGACATTCTGCATAAAGGTGCGCCTCTCCGATTTGAACGAAGATCTACTGCTCATGAGGCAATCGTGCTAACCATTGCACTAAGACACATCTAACTATACTTATATGTTATATCGTTCCGAGAGCTATTGATCGACCACTCACCGGAGTTAAAGAAAAAGGGGTTTGGCGGTAAGATAACCGAAGGAGTAAAACTAAATTAGGCTCCGTAAAGTAAACCTGATACACTGTAGTGTAAATCGTTTAAGATGATATTCGGTCAAATTCCGAAAACAAATGTAGGAATAAGAAGTGTTAAAAGAATCATGTATTCTCGTCGTGATACATCTTTTGCATAACCTAGATATTGGCTATACGCTCCGAAACAGATTCGGTTATATAGTCAGAATGAGTAAGCTGCACTAAAGACAATACCTGTACTCATTAATAATCCTACTACCGGTGATCGTTGGAATGTACCTGCTAATGCCAAGAACTCTCCTACTCAATTACTTGTTAATGGCGTACCTGCGTTGGCTACCGTAAAGAGTAAGAAAAAGACTGAGAACACTGGCATGTAAGATGTCATACCTCTGTAGTACCGGATAACTCGAGTGTGGAAAGCATCATATAGTACTCCTCCTACTAACATAAATAGGGCGGGTGATACAAAACCGTGGGCAATAGATAGCATAATACCACCTTCAATACCTTGGATTGTGTTACTGAATACTCCTGCTACTACAACACTCATGTGAGCAATACTTGAGTAGGCAACTAAACATTTAAAGTCTGTTTGTCGTAGAGTTGTTAATGAACTGTAAACAAGAGTAATTACCGCAATAGTTTGTACTAATGGGCTGAAGTACTCGGTAGCTTCTGGTAGTAATGGAATAAGAATTCGTAAGAATCCGTAAACCGCTAATTTTAGAATTAATCCAGCTAATACGATTGATCCTGCTAATGGAGCTTCTACGTGGGCTCGGGGTAGTCACATGTGGAATGGAACTAAGGGAGTTTTAATGGCGAAACTAAGGAAAATACCCAGTCACAAGATTTTCTGGCTATCAAAACTAATATCGGCTAATGAGATCATCTGTAGATCTGATGTACCAACGTTGTAAATGATAACTAGGAAAGATAGTAACATGAATAAGGATCCAAATAGTGTGTATAGGAAAAGTAGGAAACTGGCTCGAATTCGTGTTTCACTTCCTCCTCAAATACCTACGATTAAGAATAGAGGTACTAGCACTGATTCAAAGAAAACATAGAACAGTAATAAGTCTAATACAACAAATAGGGCAATTAAGAGTGTTTCCACCATTAAAAAGGCGATTAAGAAGTATTTAAGATTGTGTTTTACGTTCTCTCAGCTAGCTAAGATACAAATAGGCATTGTAAATGTTGTTAGTAATACAAAGTAAAGTGATAGTCCATCAACTCCAATGTGTAAATGACAGAAGCTAACCTGGTTAAACTCCTGAGTAAACTGGTATTGGCTTGAGTTACTATCGAATTCACCTCATAGAACCAGGGATACTAAAAAGTTAAGTAATGTTACAAATAGGGCAATTTGTTTCATTCTGCTTTCTGTTCCGTTTTGCATTGGGCTTAAGGCTAATACACCTAAAAGAGGGATAATTAGTAGCAATGTAAGCATGGTTTAGATTATTTGTTGACCTTTTGGTGAGTGGTGAAAGGGCATAAAAGGATCATTTCTGTTGCACAGCGCGTAGGGTGATCTGTATCCCACCGTAGGGGAAAGGGGTTTAGGCGGATAACTGCGGAGGGTCTATGCGTCTACTAGAATGGGCGGCGTCGAAAATCTATGGTCTTTCAATTACTGCTCGGGAAATAGATGATCGGTGATCTGTGAAATATAAGGCCAATTAAGAATAAGTTTTCCAACTTAGTTGAGACTATATCATCTAACCCCGGCGGGTCAGTAAAGCTAATAGTCGTTGAACGATAGTATATCACTACCGCTGCAGATAGGTTAGTTGTATAACTGTTCCTGCACTTCACCTTAATAAGGCAACCCTGAGGTGTTTACCTTTACCGAATTCGTAGACAAAACCTACGGTTAGTAACATTAGGAATGACATTCCAATTCAGAAACCATAAGTACTTACTTGGTATAGTGTCACAGCTAACGGGTAGAATACCGCGATTTCAAGATCAAAGATTAGGAATAAAATTCCCACTAAATAGTACTGGATAGCAAAAGGTGCTCGTACTTGATTGAAGATTGGATTAACAAATGTTTATTCTCCCCTGATCGATGGATTGCTTACCATTTCTAGTAAGTTAAGGCTATACCATCTAACACGGCCGAGTGTGTTAGTCAGTGACAATAGTCGTTGAACTGAATGAACAGCTGCAGGTTAATCGGAAACGATCGTTCTTGCAATAAAGACTGATAAGCGTATAGGGGCATAATCTTTTACCCACATTCGTAAGGAGTCACTTTTTCTGTGTCGGGTTTATGTACGGCTAATAGTACGTTAAGTAGTAGTAAAATCATTACTAATACCGGTACAAATAGGATTAATACTGTAATTGTCATTATGCTGTAAATAGTGATAATGCAAGTAGATTACTGCTATTTAATCATAGTGATGGAGATAGAATGAACAGAGCAATAACTAGGGTTAATACCGAAATTACATAGCTGTGTGTTGAGGCAAGAGTACCTGTTTGGCTTGTCACATCTGACTCTGCGGAATCAAAGTGAATTACTCGGATGATTCGTAAATAGTATGCAGCACTTACTACACTGGCTAAAATACCGATAAAGGCTAGGAAGTAGTAACCATTTTCAATAGCTGAGTACAGTACCATATATTTAGCAAAGAATCCTACTAGAGGAGGGATACCTGCCATAGAGAACAGACATAGGGCTAAACTTAAACCTAGTACAGGGTTAGCATAGAATTGTCCTTTAAGTTGTGAAATAAATGATACATCAGTTGCTCGGAAACTAGTATAACCAAAGGCCAATACAATGAAAAAGGCATTTAGGTTAGTTACTGAGTATTGCATTAGGTAGAATAGGAAACTAGTAATTGACTCTTCGCTGTTTACTGATAGAGCTAAGAGTAAGAACCCTACGTGTGAGATGGTTGAAAAGGCAAGTAATCGTTTAAGTCGGTACTGAGCTAATCCTACTACTGTACCAATAACTAGTGATAGTAAGGAGGTTGTAAGTAATAGGTTTTTTCAGATGTTGATTGAACCGCTGGGTTCGAGGCCACCCTGGCCGAGATATGCTCCATCAAATACGCTGGCAATACTTTCTGATCCGATTTGTAACTCTAATAAAAAGATAAAGATCGAAATTTTAGGCATTACCGTTAATCATGTTGTAACAATTGTGGGTACACCGTCATATACATCTGGGGCTCAGTTATGGAAAGGAGCAGCTGCAACTTTGAATAAGAATCCTACCGCAATGATTAATACTCCTAATACAATCGACAGGTTTTCGTTACCTGCTGAGTGAACTGAAGCAAAGGTGTAGATTCCTTCAAAGTGAGTTAGTCCTGTATAGGCATAGATAATACTTGACCCTAATAAGATTAACGCTGATGACAGAGCACCTAATAGGAAGTATTTAAGACCTGCTGATGTGGCTGATTCTGAGTTTCGATAGATTGCAGCTAGAATATAAACCGCAAAACTTTGTAACTCAATAGATAAGTACATTGATACTAAATCTGCACTTGAAATTAGGAATGAAGCTCCCATCGTTGTAAATAGAATGATTAAAGGGTATTCGGCGATACTTGGTACTGCACTATATCCTTTTACATCGCTATCGGTACTTGGAGCTCATGGTAATAGTAAGAAAGCCCCTACTGTGTATAGGAACATTTCCATAAATTGTGTTACGGTTGTAACATGGAATAGACCACTATATAACCCTAAACCGGATCCAATTGCCTGTACATATAAGCTATTGAAAGACAAGGCCGCGCTAAAGAGTAAAATAATAGCAGTAATTCGTGTTAATAGTGTTGGCGTGATAGTTGATGAATAAAGCGGGATCGCTAGTAATAATGAAGTTAGTCCAATTAAAAGCATTTATCTCTTTAATCCATCAAAGAGGATCTAGTTAGTTTAGATTCGAATTCATTACAACAGTTTTCTTAGTCGGGCCGATTTGCGTCGAGCCCAAATCTAGTTCATCCCTAGAAGCATCATTAAGCAAAACTTGGTGGACAGAAACTCTGGCCACTTTAGATATATACGAGTAGTTGGAATCGAACCAACATCCACTACTTGGAAGGTAGTTATACTAACCGCTGTACTATACTCGTTTCCATCTATAGAATTATGTCGAGTCGGGCCGATTTGCGTCGAGCCCAAATCTTGTTTAATTAATCAATGAGTTGTACGTAAAACTTGGGTCCCCCTATGATCGTTGACGTTAATAGCATTACACTGGAATCGAACCAATATGGCTATATCCGAAGTATAGTACTCTACCATTGAGCTAGCAATGCCGTCTAGTTGGGATACAAATAATGGGACTTGAACCCATACGGTTTATCACCACTGCTTCCTAAGAGCAGCCTGTCTACCATTTCAGCATATTTGTTGCAACGAGATCAGAAAAGGATCATTTCTGTTTCACAGCGCGTAGGGTGATCTGCATCCCACCGTAGGGGAAAGGGGGTTAATAGGGATTCTCTGGTTAAGATGCCGAAGAGTTATAAAACTATGAGTATAGGATTAAGAAAGCGATCATTAAAGCGAATAGACCTGTAGCTTCTGATAGCGCGAATCCAAGGATAGCGTATTGGAATAATTGAGGTCGTAGAGCAGGGTTTCGGCTAGTTGCTGACATCAGTGATGAGAAAACTAATCCAATTCCAACTCCAGCACCTGCTAGTCCAATAGTTGCTAGTCCAGCTCCAATGTATTTTGCTGCTTGTAACATATTTAAAGTAGTATTTGTGTAATAACACTGGTAAATCTCAGAGAACAACCGTGTAAACAGACATTTCAAGAGCAGCATGAATCGAACATACATAAGCTATTTTGAAGATAGCGATTTTACCGTTAAACTATGCTCTTATTATTAACATTACTAGGGACAAGAGGGAATCGAACCCTTAGAACGTAAGCTTTGCAGGCCCCGGACACAACCATTCTGCCGACCCGTCCCTCGGAGAGGTCTCCTCTTTTTGAACGAATGCTCAAAACAGCCCAACCTCCTTCTGGATTCGAACCAGAAAATCTTATCATTAGAAGTAATAGGCTATACCATTAAGCTAAGGAGGCAATTTACCGCGTTGTATACTATATGTTTGTTCTCATCCCAGCGCAGCTGGGACACATCGGAGATGTGCCTTCGGTGAGTGCCCGGTCACCCTCTGGGCCAGCTCCGCTGGTTTCTGCAAAGCAGAAATGACCTGTTAATAAGGGGGTTCGCTGGTATAAGGATGTGATTATAAGAGTGCTGTATTAGGTAAAATCTAAACTGATTCTCGGCTTGAGCTCATACATAGGACAATAGGTCCAACCATGGCTAATAAAAAGATAACCCCAGCAATGATTAATCAAAGCGATGCATAAGTGTATAGACCTTGCCCAATACTTTCGATTTGTAAGAAACTGGTAAAGTTGTTATCGGCAATTACCGGGTTAAATGCAACGTGAACGTTGGTTGTAAAGTCTGCAATAGCGTCGAGTCCCAGTACGGTTGAGTTAATGAAACTAAAGATTCCAAGTCAAGCGGGTGCATAAGCAGGTAACTGAACGAAACTTACTTGTAAGATAGATAATAGTTCGAAAAAGAACAATGAACTAATGATCGCTCCCAAAGGTAAATTTTGTGTATACTCTTGTCCAGTGTCAATTAACTCTACTAGTCGTAAGTTTAGCATCATGATTACGAATAAGAATAAAATGGCAATGGCACCTACATAGATAATAAGGTAAGCTAACCCTAGGTAAGCAACACCTAATAGGACAAGATAACCGGCAACGTTAATGAATACGGAGATAAGGAATAGTACTGAAATAACAGGATTTTTGGCTGTAATAACTAAAATACCAGATAGCACAGCACCAAAAGCTAATACGTCTAATAATAGGTTGTTCATTTAAATGTGTTTGCTCTAAATGGTTAAGAGCCCTTTACGTTAGTTAAAGTGCCTAAAGAATTATAGCTCGAAGATGATAGTCGTTACTTGGAATTGAACCAAGATCTGAAAGTTAACAGCTTTTCGCTCTACCGTTGAGCTATAACAACCAGTATGCAAAAATAGATAGATTATTATCAGGTGACTGCGATTCGAACGCAGAAAGTCCTTCTCCCAAAGAAGGCAGCAAACCAGGCCAGCTTCCCACCTGTAGTCCGACCCGCAGGTATTCCAGAACGTGGTCCAGGAGCAGAGCATCCTGACTCAATATGATATTATAAAGTTAAATGGTTTATTAGCACTACTTAGCTCATACCTTGCAGTACTTATACACGTAGCCTATTTAGAGGTAGTCTGCCTCTTACCATCCTTAGTATCTAGGAGGGAGCTTCGATCTTAAGATGCTTTCAGATCTTATCCTTTCCATACGTAGCTACTCTGCTATCCTATTACAGAACAGATGCACCAGAGGTATGTACCTTCAAGTCCTTTCGTACTGAGAAGATGTCTCCCTTTTACTATTCGTCCCTGCAAAAGATAGGGACTATACTGACTCCAATCTATTAACAACTAGTTATTTCTAACTAGGTTGGACTATACTATGTTCTATAGGAATAGAATAAAGATCTATAGTCTCTGAATAAACTTTTGTTTACTGCTGATTACTCATTAGAGTTTCCAGCAAATTATCTTTAACAACGCAAGTCATTTATAATCCACGTCGTATTGAACCCAACTCGCGTACTACTTTAATCGGCGAACAGCCGAACCCTTCCCACCTACTACAGCGGGAGGATGTAATGAGTCGACCTATTTAGGTTACTTTCTACGGCAAGAAAGCTCAGACTCTGTCATGTCATTGGTTACCTTAACGGCCAATGGTTAGGGAAAAGAATCGTTGAACAGATGCTGCTCTCAGCTCTGCTGCAAATCCTACGTACTCGTAAATTTTTGCAGTACACCCTATTTATCCTCGACATCGAATATCCCATTTATCGAGGTGCCAAACACCGGAGACAATATGAACTCTCGTCCGGTATCAGCCTGTTATCCCTAGCGTAGCTTTTATTCGTTGAGCGATAGCCATTCCATAATGTACTACCGGATCACTATACCCTACTTACGTATCTGCTCGACTTGTCGGTCTTACAGTTAAGCTTGCTTTTGCTATTACACTTTTCTTTTAGATTGGTTTCATTCCAATTTAAGCAAACCTTTGGACTTCTATGATATTTTATTATAGAACTCCGTCCCAGAGAAACTACCAGGCAGCCATTGTCTCTTATTCAAGGTTAGCCTTCATCGATGATTAGTCAAGGTCTTTCACTTTTGTCTAGTCGACTACCCTGTACCTACACCTAACGATCAACAATGGCAATAACTGCTTATAGTAAAGCTGCATAGGGTCTTCCCGTCTATTTGCAGGCAAACCGCATCTTCACGGCTAATTCAATTTCACTGAGCTGTGTGTGGAGACAGCGAGAGCATCGTTACTTCATTCATGCGGGACCATAATTAGTGGCCAAGGAATTTCGCTCATAATAATTATAAAACTAGCTTGCACTAGTCCTTGGACTATAACATTTATTCTTACACATAGCCTCTGAAGCCTAAGCCTGCTGATTTACCTATATCTAGAATTGGCGGTGCCAATTCGGCCCGATTCAGCGAAGCTGAATCTAAGGTTATTCCAGCAATTAAAGTAAGATTAACCAGCTATCACTTGGTAGTTGGAGGCAGCTCTGCTACCTGAGGATCCTTATAGTTAAGACCGCTGTTTACTACCTGTTCAGCAAATGACGATAATCATCACCCGCTTTATTCAGTAGCACTGAGCAGAATTCAAGACTTATACAACTACATTAGTATTAGCAAATCTCTGTGTTTTTGGTAAACAGTCGCACTCTCCGATTTTGTGACACCGATGTTCTAGATCGGTCACCCTTATCCTCTAAGTTACGGGTGCAATTTGCCGAGTTCCTTCACACACATTAGCTCATCGCCTTAGTATACTCTACCTGCGCACCTGAGTCGGTTTAGGGTACGGTAAATTTAAACTACATCATTTTCCTGGTCCAATAACATGGACGTTCTGCAGTTATCCTCATCAGCCATGGCTTTCGCACATATACCTTAGAGACCGTGTTCACTCTAGGAAATCCAATTTTTCCTGACTACCCACTTACTTGAATAGTCAATAGAAACCCTTACGCATTCGGCGAGGAGAATTAAATCTCCTTTTCGTTACTCATGACAGCATTATCACTTCAGTTACGTCCAAGTAATGTAACACTACTCTTTTTCCGTACCAAATGGTCCTTTACCCATCAAACGAATTGTTTGAGGTGCAATTTCGGTTAAAAGCGTAGATCCGTGTATCTTCGGCGCAAGTCTTCCGGTTCCCAGGCGGAGCCCACATCAGAGATGTGCCCTAAAGGGTGGGAAATTAGACCACTGTACTGTTACGTACTCATAAGAAAATGGCTGTTACCGGGCACATTTCGTGGCTGTCATAGAAAACAAACTTCCTTAATTTCACTTAACTTTTATTCGGAACCTTAATCTGCACTCTGGGCTGTTTCCCTTTTGTCCACCCACCTTATCATGAGTAGACTGATTGCTCATTGTATTATAATTGTAGCTATTCTGAGGTTAACTTACAAAGGTAGGCTTTTCACGGCCCCCCATTTAGCAATGACTTGCATGTAAATCAGTGCTATACCGGCTACAATCCCTTTCCCATCCCAGCATAGCTGGGACCTAGCTACCCTTCGGGCACA